ATGAGGAACGTTCAGGTCGTCCAAATGAGGTCACTACACCAGAAATGATTGAAAAAATCCGTGATATGGTAATGAGTGATCGAAGATTGAAAGTGCGTGAGATTGGTGAGAGTGTGGGCATTTCAATTGAACGGGTTAATAACATTTTGCAAAATCATTTGGATATGAGAAAGCTTTCCGCAAGATGGGTGCCGCGATTACTCACAACACACCATAAACAAACACGTGTTTCCATTTCAAATGATTGTTTATCAATGTTAAACGCAAATCCCCAGGAGTTTTGGCGTCGATTTGTAACTGTCGATGAAACGTGGATTCATCACTCCACACCAGAGACCAAAGAACAGTCAAAACAGTGGACTCGTCGTGGTGAACCAGCTCCAAAGAAGGCAAAGGCGATATTATCAGCAAACAAGGTTATGGCCACAGTATTTTGGGATGCGCGTGGGGTTATACATATTGATTACCTACAAAAAGGAAAAACAATTAATGGCAAAATATTGGGTGATTTTGACAAGGCTTTGAAGGAAAAACGTCCACATTTGTTGAAAAAAAAAGTTCTTTTTCATCAAGACAATGCTCGTGTACACACATGTGTCGTAGCCATGTCTAAATTCAATGAATTAGGCTACCAAATGCTTCCTCATCCGCCGTATTCTCCAGATTTGGCCCCCTGTGACTTTTTCCTCTTTCCTAATCTTAAAAAGTGGCTCGGCGGGAAAAAATTTAGCTCAAATGATGAAGTAATTGCAGCAACAAATGCTTATTTTGAAGGGTTGGAGAAAACCTATTATTCGGAAGGGATCAAAACATGGGAAAAACGTTTGCTTAAGTGTATCGAGCTAAAAGGAGATAATGTTGAAAAGTAAATTGAATTTCGTTAAAAAAATCGTTTTATTCTATTCAAGGCCGGGTAGTTTTCATACGACCCTCGTATGTTTTCTGTCATATAAAAAACAAACAACATCTCACTTTTTATTTAATTGTCTTTCAAAAAATAACGTTTAATAAACAAATTCTTTTAAAAATATATTATATGCATGGGCTGAAATTTGTACAAAAATCGGCTCACACACATGTGCATGTGTTTAATAACTCTGCAGTAAATCGCGCTACTTCAAGACTAGCGCAGAACTAGCCCTTTAAGGGGCGGTACTGGTTCTCGATCTATCCCAACGCGAAGTTGAAAT